CTCTCTCTCTCTCTCTCTCTCTCTCTCTCTCTCTCTCTCTCTCTCTCTCTCTCTCTCAGAGTCCGGTACTAACCATGAAGGTGACGCCTTGTTGCAGGTACATCAAAGACGAAGCTGGAGCCATGGCGCCACAGGTAAGTCTCCCTGGCCTCCGCCAACCATCTCTCATCCTCCCATGCTACTCTAGCTCCTAATAGCGCCCAGCGCTGAAGACTACTGCTAACGCTGCTACTACTACTACAGCGCTCCTCCACAGTGCTGCTGCCGAATCCTGAAGACTGCCTCCTGCCTCCTGCACGTGAAGTGCCTGGGAAGTTCCTATGAACTACCTCGTGACTGTCTGCAGCCTGTAGGGCGGGCCAGTCTTATATAGTGCTGGCCCGTCCAGGAGGCTGCTCTTGCCAATGCCGAAACGTGCCAGACCCTGGTGTTGAAGTTCAAACAAGGGTTGTCTTGAAAACAGGCCAAAAATGGCCTGTGCTAAAACCCTGGTCTGATACCTAAGTTTCAGGGCAGGTTGATCTTATGAGGGCCTGAAAATGGCCCTCCGTTTCAGGCTGAAAAGACTCAGGGCCTGGAGGGCCCTGTTTTAGGCTGAAACACTTAAGCGCCTTTGAAGCCTCTAAAATTCTATAGCTGCTTTTGCCTTGTTTCTGTTTAAGTCCTAAGGCCTGAACCCTCGGCCTAAACTGTCCTATCTTATCTATTCTAAGACGCCCGGGTTGGGATTATCTCCCCTATACCCTAGAGTTCTCCCTGTTTACATCCTGCTGTGACCCTTGTCCCCTGTGCCCTTTCTTTGGCCCTYGGCCCTGAATCCTGCATCCTCTTTCCCCCCTTTTCTTAAATCCTAAACCCTTCCTCCCTCTGCTTGGGATCTGTTCCCTCTTTCAATCCTTGCCTGTGTTTTTCTTTACRTAAGTCCCTTGTAACTTCTGATACCTTGTGCGATGTTTGACTCGACCCTGACCGCACCTTAAACCCTAAACCCTAAAATTGAGCTGCTGCTGTCCTTATATGTGCGGTCAAGGATGTTGGCCTGTGTGGTTAGTTGGTCACATCGTAGGAGACGTGGATGCTCGTGGAGCTAGGATGTTAGGAGCTATTTTGAGGCCCGGCTAGGTTGGGTGTTAGTTTTTAGTAGGGATAGGGTAGTGGGGGGAGAAGTATCTGTTGATCGGTAAGAGCTTGATCCTGGGGCTTGACTTGCGGGAATAGCGGGTGTCTGTGATTGTGATGGGGGAGGGAGTGGTGTGGTGTGGCTGGGGGGTGGATGTGCTTCCTAGTTTTATGTGGAGTTCATGTGAGCGACAAAAGAGTCAGGTATTGAGTTGAAGGAGTCTGTGTTGGGTTGGCTGGGCGGGGGGATGTTTTCCCAGAGTGTGAAGGATAGTCTTGGGCCCTTGATTTGTGCTATTTTGCCCTTTGCCAGATAGTTTTCTTCGAATTTTTGTGTGAGTTCCTTTGTGGTGGTTGCATTTGCTTCCTTTCTTCTTTTTACTTGTCACCATAAGACTTGGTATTCAGTTTCTACTTGCTGTTGCGCTAAGAGCCAGGCTTCTTTTGGGTGCATTGGTTGTTTGCCTATTGTTTCCTGGCATCTTTTCCTCCAGATGGTCCAGAGTGCTGCTTTTCTCAGGATTTGGAAATTTTTTTTTTGTAATGGGGTCCAACCAACTGGTGTTGTGAACCCTAGCAACAGTAGGGTCGGGTTTGTAGTTAGAGTGGAGGCCATGGCCGCGTTCCAAGTCTTGGATATATTGTCCCAGATGGGTTGTATCTTAGAACAATGTAGGAAGCAGTGGAAAAGGTTTTCTGTTTGTCCTTCAGGGCAATTGGCACATAGCTCTTTCAGGGGACACCTGTCTTCTTTCTTTCTTCTAACATTTAGCCATTGGCTTAGAGGAACGGCTAAATATAGTATTAGCCATTGTAGACTCCTGAATTTGGGGGGGTGTAGGGTAGTGATTTGGTTCCATGGGATTTGGGTTAGCTTTTCTGGCTCTACTTCTAGATGTTTCCACCAGCGTTCCGCTATGACTGGTTCTGGTGCCACTGATCTGCGTCTGAGTCTATATCCTAGT